TTGGGACAATTCGACATCAAGTTCCAACCCAGAACCACGATAAAGGTCCAAGCTTTGGCAGACTTTGTCGCAGAATTCACCCCAGGAAGTCATCATCTCTGCCCAGTCGACCTGATTGACACAACCGAACTAGGGATGGAAGTTGACGCTGGAATAGCGCAACCCCTAGCAGAAGGTACTCAGTCAGACTCCAAGGCAGACCAGACTATAGACAGCAAGGAAGAAGCAAACCAAGCTACAACAAACCAAGACTCACCACAAAATGAAGACTTGGTTCAATCAGATAGCGAGGGGCAGACAGCAAGCATGGACCTTAAAGAAAACACCAGCAACATTCTTGACCCCACGGCATCATCTGATCCCTCCACTTGCTGGAAATTGCTCGTTGGTGAGATGTGGAAGCTCTTTGTGGACGGAGCATTCAACCGGCATGGTGCAGGACTTGGCATAGTCCTCATCTCACCGGACGGCCTGGTTATGGAGCAAGCAGTCAACCTTGGCTTCCCAACATCAAACAACGAAGCGAAGTATGAAGCGCTTCTTGCAAGTCTCAAATCAGCATTCTATATGAAGGCCACCGAGCTAATGGTCTACAGCGACTCACAGCTGGTGGTAAACCAAATTTCTGGCAACTATGAAGCAAAGGATGACAGGATGGCCAAGTACCAAGAATTGGTCAGAACAGAGATCAAGAAATTTGAAGTAGTAAGAATAGAACAGATTGGCAGTGAGGAAAACAGCAGAGCAGACGAACTAGCAGGCTTTGCTTCAATGGCAGATACATCCATCCCTCATCCATTACTAATTGACTACCTACCAAGACCAAGCATTGAAGACCCCAAAGCAGAAGAGGTATGTTGCGCCGAACTAGGCCCCTCATGGATGGATCTTATCATACTATTCTTAAAAGACGGCGTCTTACCGAAAGAAAAGAAAGAAGCCAACAAAATTAGAACAAAGTCGCAGCGATTTTGACTCTCCCCATCTATGGCATTGTACAAAAAGTCATTCTCAAGACCTTATCTAAAGTGTGTCCACCCCAGTAAAGTGGAAGCGTTCTTGTTCGAGATACACGAAGGCGTGTGCAGAAGCCACCAAGGAGGAAGATCGTTAGCCTACAGAGTCATTTCATAAGAATACTAGTGGCCATACATGCAAGTAGACTCGGAGAAGTATGTGAAGAAGTGCGAGAAATGTCAGAAGTTCGCACACCAAATACATCAGCCAGCCAGAGAGCTCCCACCATTGACCAGCCCATGGCCCTTCGCAATGTGGGGCTTGGACATAGTAGGATCACTTCCAACAGCACCCGAAAAAAAGTTCTTTCTTGCAGCAACAGACTACTTCACAAAGTGGGTGGAAGCAGAAGCATTGGCATCAATCAAGGAAAAAGATGTGAAGAAGTTCGTCTGGCAGAATATCATCACTCGGTTCGGCATACCTAAAGCCCTAATATCAAACAACGGCACTCAGTTTGATGGCAGAATCTTTAGAGGCTTTTGTGAAGAATACAAGATAGAGTTCTACAATTCTACACCGGCATATCCCCAAGCAAATAGCCAAGCAGAAGCATCAAACAAGGTTGTCTTGGATGGATTAAAGAAGAGGTTAGAAAAAGCAAAAAATAAGTGGGCTGAGGAACTGCCGCATGTTCTGTGGGTTTACCGTACCACACCTCGGCGATCAACTGGAGAGACACCATTCTCTTTAGCCTATGGCATGGAGGCAGTAATCCCACTGGAAGTTGGCCTCCCTACAATTAGAAGCGAAAATTTTGATCCAGACTTGAATGGAGAAGCCATAGCATTGGAGCTCGACCTCGCCGAAGAAAGAAGAGAAAGAACACTGGTTCACATTGCCTCGTACCAACAAGAGTTGTCCAAAAAGTATAACAAAACAGTGGCCTTGTTTGGTTTGTATTTGAGAAACATGTTTTGAGATAAAAAGCACGAAAATTTGTTCGGTTTGATTTTTTTTCAAAAGATGTTTTGAAAAATTATTTTGTGAGAGAGTTTTGAAAAAAGTGATTGATTTGATGTGTATGAGAGAGAGATTTGTTTGGAAAATTTGTAAACCAAACAAGTTTTGAAAAAAAAAATTTGAGAAAATTTGTTTGGTTTGATTACTTTTGAAAACTTATTTGTAGAGAATTTTTCCCAAAATTTTTTGAGAAACACAAACCAAACAAGGCCAGTACATCCAAGACAATTCAAAATCGGAGATTGGGTACTGCGCAAAGTGATGGGAAACACCGTGGTACCAAGAGATGGCAAGTTAGGGCCTAATTGGGAAGGACCTTACAAAGTGGTGGGATTAGCTGGCAAAGGGGCATACCACTTGGAAAATAAGGATGGCAAAGCAATGCCCAGACCATGGAACACTGCCAATCTCAAACTATTTTATTTTTAGCCTTTCTTCAAGAATGCTTGTAATTTTTTCCTTTCTCAATAAAATAAGTAGCTTCTTTTCAATGTAGTTGTTTCCTTTTGTAAAAGATCGTCTTTTAGTGAGTTAGGGACATTGAAAGCACAGTTGGCCGGAATAACCAACTATGCACCCTCCTAAACCCAGGATAAGGATCCAGGCTGCAGGACGTTTGGTCGGAATAACCAAACACTTTATTCTAGATTGGCTGAAAAAACCAATCTAGAGGTTAGCTGGAAAAATCAACACCCCTCCTAAGGCCAGGATAAAGATCCAAGCTGCAGGACGTTTGGTCAGAATAACCAAACACTTTATTCTAAATTGCAGGAATAACCAATTCAGAGGTTGGCTGGATTAAACCAACTCTTTGTACTCTTCAACCGAGGTAAGTATCTCGGCTAAAGAGTGGTTGGCTGGACTAAACCAACTCTTGGTACTCTTTAACCGAGGTAAGTATCTCGGCTAAGGAGTGGTTGGCAGGTATACTTCTAGTTGCAACGATTATCACCGGGATAAAGTATCTCGGCAAGAGAATGTTGTACCGCATCCAAGACTTCAGCTAGAAAGTAAAGTATAAGCATAGAGATCAACCGAAATAAGAGTTGGAACAAAAAAGCAGACTTCATTAAAAATTCAAAGCAAGTACAAAGGATGGGGCCTCAGCCTGGTTACAATCTGTGTCCAAAAGCAAAGAAAAGAAAATACAGAAATCAAGCAAAAAGAAGAGAAATGAAAGTCAGGCAAACAGATCATCAAGATCCGCATCAAGTTCAACTCGCAGCCCGATTTCAGTTGGAAGCTCGGTTTCGGTCGGGAGTATGGTCTCGATTGGAAGCACGGTTTCAGTTGGTAGTTCGACAGTCAGGTCTTCCACCGTTGGCTCCGACCGAGCCGACTGACAGGCGAGATCATTGACAACCGAGGTATCATTGGGCACGGTTTCTTCATCATCTAAATCTTCAAGAAACCGTTGTTGAGTGGTAGCAGCATACTCCGCTAGTGAGCTCGGTATGAAGTATTGAGGAGGATTGAAGACCTCGGTCTCAGGCCCATGACCGAGTTGCACCACAACACCCCTCCACCCGCATTTAAAGAAGAGATCCTTTGCAGCTTCACACTGCTTGATGTATAGGGCTTCACCCTCTTTAAAGCCCCAGTCCTCTGCAGCCTCCAGCTTCTTCTCAAGCTCCATTATTTCGACTTTCTTTTTTCCTTCAAGCTTGGCTAGCTCACGCAGGTATTTTTCTTTCATCACGGCCAGAGCCTTTTGTTTATCAGTATTAGCCGAGATAACTAGTCCGGTTAGACGGGTCACCTCGGCCTCTAGCTAGGCCGTCTTCTGTTGACATTCTTTCAGCTCGGCCGATTTGGCATCCGCTTCTGCCATGGCCTGCCTTATTCTTTTCTTAAGTTCCAACACTCGCCTGTGTGCAATGTGATTTTTCTGTATAGCCTGCAAAAGGATAGAGAGTAACCTTTTAAACCGAGTAGACAACTGAGAAAATCAAAAAAAATAAAGAAAAAAGGGCAACTTACCAGCACCATGGATTTTGTGGACGAGCGAAGGGCCTTTAGCTCGGTCAGGTGGTTGTGGTGCCTCATGTCGGCTGGAAGGCAAACACCTTTAGCCAGGTTGAATGCCATCAGGTGGTCTTTCTCTGCGACCACTGAGTCAGAATCCGTGATAGCACGGTTCTGAAAAGTGATTTTTGGAGCCCACTTGGAGGAGGTAGCTTGGCCAGAGCGCTCCGATTGTGGGCTCGGTGTAGGGCTTGGCAGAGTGGTTTGAGGAACCACGGTTTCATCTTCATCAACAAGACGTTGCTCGGTTTGGGTAGTCTGGGCACGTTTCTTTGGGCGAGATGATGAAGGTTGTTGAGTAGGAAGGGCCACCACGGTCCCCTGAGTTTGATCGGCTGGTGGTACCTCGGTTGGGTTTGTTTCAGTCAGAAGGGTCGTACGGCTCTCTTTTTGGCCATTTCTTGTTCGGCAGTAAGTGGGACAAGGTTGATTTGAGGCAAGGATGGGTCCGGTTCAGGAGAGGCTTCTAGCAAAAAGTCAGTTACCCTGGTCCTTCGTTTTCCACTGTATCGGTAGGTCGGCTCAAAATTTAGCAGGTCAGTCCAACTCCGGTCTGGATATCGCAGCGCGGCGCGAAGCACGTTCAAGTTGGGGTAGCTATATTAGGACTTAAGAAAGTTCCTATCTGCAAAAAAGAAGACAACATTAGGTTCGGTTCACAATCAGAAAACCGAAATAACAAGAAGAATGTAGTAAAGCCGGGGTAACCCTACAGACTACACCCTTGTTCCAGTTTATTCTGTGGCCTGAGATCTGGGCTTGGTGGTCTTCAAAATTCCCAAATACCCAGAAAAAATCATCATCGTTTAAGTTTTTGTCCGGTGTGTCCTTTATTATTTTTTCACGCCGGCGCTTTATTCGTAAGTAGTAAACCCAGTCATCTTCAGCTGATCTTATGGAATACTAGTAGAAGAGCTTGGCAAAACCAAGGTTAAGACCAGCCCGGCGGTTTAGCTCGGCTATTCCGTTTATTATGCGGTAAGAATTGGTGAAAAGTTGGGTAGGGCAGAGTTTGGTTTGCCTGAGGAATTCACAGAGTAAGGGTTGTACTGGGAAGTGTAGACCGCACTCCACAATGGAAATAACATTAAAAGGGACAAAACCCTGTTTACCCCAAGGAACGGTATCCAGGTCGGCTAAGGTGAGGTGAACATCGTCAGGGATGTTATAATCCTTTCGGAATTCAGCCATACCACTAGGTGTGTTTACTAAATACCTATACTTTTCCATATTGGGTGTTAGCTCGGTCGGAGAATGGTGCCGAGTAGCTCGGTTGAGCGCTCAAAAGAGTGTCTGGGCAACCTAAGTCTGCAAAGTGAAAAACAAAGGTTAAGCACAGATCGTTGGACCGTGCTAAAAGAAACACAGGCAAGATAAATGAAGTCCTAGCTCGGCTATGTGAATTGCTTCATGTCTTAGCTCGGTCTGAGCAAGGGGTCTGTTAGCTCGGTTTAAGCGAAGGTTTGCTAGCTCGGTTTGAGCAAGGGATTTGTTAGCCCAGTTGAGCCTATAGGGGCAGCATTCTTAGTTCGATTTGAGCTAAGAAAGCTGGTTTAGCCCCGAGATGTAGCTCGATCATGGTCGAGGTTTTCAAGCATACTACTACAAACATGGCATGGATCAATTAGCCCGGCTAAGATAAATGAAACGAAAGATGGTTCGACCTGATGAAACTACTAGTTTAGCATGAAGTGCTAGTTCGGTTTGTAGTTCGGTTATATTGTGATTTTGAATCAAAACCAGTGTCTCTCAGGTTATTTCAAGTGATTCCATTACTAAGTTTTTTTTCCAGAAAACGCAAGGCAAAGCAAATGGAAAGAATATGTTTCGTAAAAACACAAACAAAAAGCTATGGATTAAACAAATGCGAAAACAATAAAAGGAGAATAGATCTATATAGCTTACCAGGTCAAGATAAGGGCAGCAGCTGCAAGCAAAATCACGAGCCTCACAGTTATCAAGTTGAAATGGGGGGTTCAGAGGCTTGCAAGAGAGAAAGGGTGAATAGTAAAGTAAATGATTCAAAGCATTTAGGGATTGTTTTGTGAAAAGAAAAGGGTTAAAGGCGAGAACTGTTCAAAAAACACAAGGTACGAAGACGGCGTGACAGCTGCCTTTAGCCAATGAGAGCATGCCACATGTCCTTGGAATGAGAAGCGATTCAGTTGCCGTGATTGAAGAGATGTTTTGACCGAACAGGTGCAGCTCGGTGTGAATTTAGTTTGGCTGGAAAAGCTAAAAGAGTTTTTAGCTCGGTTGGAAAAGCTTAAAAGCTTAGCTCAGTAGTAAGGTTAAAGTTTTTAGCTCGGTTGGTAGACAAGGTAATCCCTATCATGCTGTGCAGATGGAATTAAGGGGCAATTGAGAGGGTAATTTATA